TTTCTCTCTTTATATTTCAAATTTTGTTTCTGTAATTACAATTACTAATTTTATCAACCATGTTCTATGATATGTTCTAATTTGATAATATTTTCAGAATTTTTTTGCAATTTTTCGCCTTTTAGGAGACGATTCATCATCTATCTTTATCCATAGCGACAACAAAGAAATTAGGCGCACAAAATAAGTACTAGCAAATGAATTTTTCAAAAAATAAAAGGATTAGCAAAAGAAAGCGGAAGTTGGGAATGAATTAGGCACACTAACGAAGAATTAAAGTTGCTGTGGGTATTTTTTTTTTTTTTTTTTGAGGAGGTTGCTGAGGAAATTTTAGTAACGGAAGAATACTATGATAGGGGTGCCAGCTAGAATATGAAAAATTAAAAAAATTAAAACTGTGGAAGCTTAAATAATCGTAAACCTAAAGTTTTGATATCATATTAGATCTTGTAAAACTCTTCAAATTGGATTGACTTTCAGATCTAGGAAACTCAAAAGATAATTATACAAAATATATCACATATATTGTAAAATAACAGAATATCTTATCATATATTCTATAAGTTGATTTAACTTAATATTACTATGATTTAATTTGAGAAAGAGAAAAAAAATGGATTTAATTTCGTGCTAGCATTTCGATTTTAATCTCAACATTATTTCGTTATATCCACAAATTGAAAAAAGGAAGATTTTTACGTTTTGGTGTTTGGAGTAATGGTTGATTATTGCCTTGCAAATTTATAACTTTGAAGAATTTATAAGTTGATTGCCTTGCTGCAAATGGCGGACGAAGCTAAAAGAAGACAGAAGTTAATTTCCTAAAGATTATTTGATGGTTGTTAGCTTCAATTTTTGTAAAACATAAATGATTCGTTCATTACTTTTGTTAGTTATGATTCTATAAAATAAAAAATGATTACTCAACATTAAAAATTTAACTTAAAATAAAAAAGAGGGAAAATTTTCGCTAAAATTCCATACAATGAACTTTTAATGCTGGTAAAATTTCATGTGGCACCAACATTTAGCTTTGGAAATTGTAATTAAAAGAGAAAACGTAATCTCCTTTTTCACCATTATCGCATACCTAAAGTTTCTTCATCTCATTCAATATAATAAAATTTGATAAATTCATTCGTCTACAAATTCTAAAAAATATTCAGTGAATATTTTTATTAGTAACTTGATACCAAGAAATATAATTCAAAAACAAGTCTATGGCGCCACTTGACTCTGCATCTTGTTTCATTCAATATCGACTACGTGCAATAATTTTATAAATAAAATGAATGTATTGATTATCTGATCTTATGACCATTGTATTTTATAAGACTAAACAATGCAATATTTATTGTTATTTTTTAAACTAATATATTTGACTAATATCAACATTTGATAATTCTTATTATAAATAATATTAAAATAAGTCATGGGGTATTAAAAGTAAACTAGGAATAGCTGAAATAAAATTGAAAATTATACCAATGAAATTAATTAGGGCTCTATTGTCATAAAAAATATTTAGATAAAAAAATACAAAGTTTATTGTACGCACACTTTATTGTAAAGGAAGAAACAAAAGTTAAAATGGTAAAAGATATATTAACATGGATACTCCGTATATAAGTCAAGAAGGGGTAGGTAAAAGTATAACATTAGCGAAGGGCTAGAAAGAATTGAAAAATAATGCTACTAAAATAAGAATTTCATTTTCAAATTCTAGCCTAGAATATATACGAGAAATAGAAATATGATTTGATATTAATAAAAGTGTTAGGATCTTGAATTCATTTTTCAATCTTAAATATATAATCAATGTGAGATATTTTAATAGGCGGTCAAATTTAAAACTATTTCAATTGCACACCGTCATTCATTAAGGGCATGTTGTCTTCACCGCAAAAAAAATAAGTTTTAGGTCTAATAAGTTAAGGTAATTTATAATAAGTCCAATAAGTTAAGTAAGGTCTAATAAGTTACATTATGTTAAATAAGGTCTAATAAATTTCAATAAGTTCTAATCAAGTCTAATAATAAGGTCTAATAAATAGGGGTGTCCATTCGGTTCATGGTTTGAATTTAGCCTAAATCCATTCCGATTTAAAATAAATTTTAAATTTCAATTATCAAATCCATTTCGATCTGAATTCCTCACCAAATTCAATCCGATCCTGATTTAAAATTAGGTTATCTGGACCCAATACGAAAGTGCGAATTAATATACGTTGCATATTTTTTGGGCCTAATGTGATAATAAAAATTAAAATACAATAATAAAAATTAATTCTTAAAAGTATAGTTGTACACGATTAATAGAAGTATTGAAAACATAGGTAGGTTACATGATAAATATTAATAATTATAATCATAGTTTAGCATGATTATATCAACAATACTTATTTATAAACTAACGATTTCATAATTTATTTTAGTATTTTGGATTCTAACAAGGTCAATCCAATTCGATTTGAACGTCCGAATTTTCAAAAAAATTCAATCCGATCCGATTTGATTTAAAGTTTGGATATGATCCAAATTAATAATTCTGTTTTGATTGGTTTAAATTTCGATTTTAATCCGAATGATGGATACCCGTACTAATAAGGTATAATAAGTTCCAATAAGTTCAGTAAGGTCTGATAATTTAATAAGGACTAATAAGTTTGATAAGGTCTTACAAGGTTCAATAAGGTATAATAAGTTCTAATAACATCAATGAGGTATAATAAGTTCCAAGACTTTAAATTACAGTATACTGTGTAAGTTTTGATTTTTCAAATACAAATATGATTCCTTTAAAATTGATAGTATTTTTTTTTTAGTTTTTAAATACAAAAATGATACTTAAAATGAAAATTTATAGAAAAATCAAAACGTGTCTCTTTATACCTCCACAAGATTCGAACACAGGTGGACTATCCATAGTCATTCAAGGGGTTTGTTTGTTACTAGACTAAGGGGTATAAATATATACATCAGATGAAAACAAATTAATTTTTATAGTGTATCCATTGGACTGAATTTCCTGGCTTATTATTTTATGATTTTAGAAAATAACAGCACAAAAAAGTCAAGATTTTGATTAAAACACAACAAAAAAAAAGTCACGCTTTGAAGTTTGGTCCACATGTTCCACAATATATACCATTAGTTTTATTAATTTCATTTAAGGCTATAGTGTGTATAAGAATTTAAAACATGTTGTACGGAGATCTCAAAGTGATACGTTTATCAAATTAGATTATATAAACAGAAGAATGATTCTTTAAAATAATAAATGTTTTTAGGGAAAAAAAAGGTTTTTTCATGGTCACAAAGTTCGAATACTGAATGTGTTTATATAATGCAACATTTTGATAATGTCTAGACCATCGGACTAAGGGGATATCAGCACATTCATTAGGTTACATATTAATATATATTATTAGTTGAATAGGTTCATTTTTTATATTTATCAAATTTGTAAAATTTTAACTTATTAACATACTTTTTGTTTTAAATAAAATAGTTATTAAATATAAAAAATTTATATCTAAACGTATAAGTTTGTTTCCTTCACAGAAATGAAATAATTAAAATACAAAATAAAAATATGTTTTTGTTATTCTAATATTTTAAAATTAGATATGATTCTGTAAAATTAAAAATATTTAACACCAAAAAAAAACATTTTACACCGTCACAGAGTTCGAACGATGGTATCATGTACACAAAGGTAGCTTTTTTTCTAAACCATTGGATTAAGGAGTATCAACACGTTCATTATGTGGAAAAAATTTATTTATTAAAATCTATGTATGAGTGTTTCGACGAAACTTTGATGTCAATTACAATATCGGTTTTTTTTTTTTTTTGTAAAATATCAATCTTCGTAGCAGCAAACATTAAATCATTTTCTTGCTACAATTTATACGAAAATTGTAAAACATCAACTTTAACCAAACTTATTTACTTGCAGCATATAATTCTAAATTTATTTTTGTTTTTACACATCCACCAAAATTTTATTCAAATTAGTTTATTCTTCATGCATATTATCACTACAATTCATTTTAATAATTGTAAGCCACCGCGAGTACGGCCGAAATCGACCGGAAGATTACATAAAATTGACCGACGACGTTCAGATTTTCACCAGATAAATCAGCCCGTATTGCACCGGGGTCAAACTACTCAACGAAGAAATTAAGATTTCTATAGTGTTCTTCATTCGTTATGTAGAGAGATAAATTTGAGGGGAAACATTAGGAGAGAGAAAAAAAATTAGGAGAGAGAAAAAAATGAGGTGAAAATTTCAAAGTTTTTTTTTTTTTTTTGGGGGGATTATATAATCCCTCCGTTTTTAAATACTTACTCCACTTTCTTTTTCCGACCGTTTTTAAATAATTGGTCCATTTCCTAATTTGGAAAGCTTTTATAATATTTAATTAATTTTTCTCACCAAGTGCACCCAACAATATTAATTCCATATTCTTTCTCCTTCAATTCTCTCCAATACTTTTGGGTTTTTATAATTTTTTATTTTTCCACAAACCCCACTACCTCTATATTTTATTACTTTCTACAATTTCTCCTAAAACTCCGCGCATGGAGAAATGGAGCAAGTATTTAAAAACGGATGGAGTACTATTTTAATTTTGGTAGATGAAAGGTTTGATAAATTTGAAATTCATAAGTTAAAATTTAAAAAACAAGGTTTAAAATTCAAATGAAAATGAAGGTGACTCATACAAAAAAAAGATTCTCCATGAACCAATGGAATGCTTGTGTACAAGATTCCTTTGTACACTAAGTGTACCCTAAATTGCTCCCAATTAGCCTTATCAAATGAACAAAAATCATTTTCACTATTTCCAAATAGCACACAACCTTAGATTTCCTATGTATTGTTATTCCGTGCACAAAAGTCTAGCTAAGTAGCATATTTTAGATTTTTCAGCATAAACATGTAATTGGTTCAATAACATTTTACAAATAATTAAAGAAGCATAAGTTACCTGTGGAGCAATGACCACAAAACCATGAGAAGCAACATGATGAATAAGTTGTGAGTAGAAATGGTTGTATAACATATATCCATGAAGCATCAGCAACACCGGGAACTCGCCACCCTTTAAACACGACGGAGTTCCGATCAACAGCGGCTTCGGTGGTGGGTTTGTCTTATTGTTGTTAAAGTGGCTTTCTGCTTTGATTCTAAGAAGGGCAGTGGGATAACTTCCATCATCAAAGACATTGGTTCGATTAGCAAGTGTATCTGGAGAAGAAATTGAGGTAGAAGAAGACATTGTTAAATAATATCTCTTTCTTTTTCCTTACACCCCACTTTCTAGTGTGATCTTTTTCGTTTCTCTTGGATAATAAGTTTTCTATCTTGTGGCCTGTATTCGTTTTCATTTTCTCTTCTCTTAGTTTCGTCTCAGTAATTAATAATTTAACTTCTGAATGTCAACTTTTTAAAATTTGTACCTTTTTTTTAATTTTTTTTACTAGCAACAATTTCACTATGAATATTTTTAAATTTTATTAATAATCACTCATATATATTATAGTGTAGCCTCTAAGTATACAAATTTATCCTCTAATTCTACTCTCCAAGCTTAGTTAACTAATTTAAAATTTTGTAACCACATTATGGGACGAAAAGAGAGTTTATTTTGTTGATTAAACCAAAAGTATATATAAGGCTCAGATAATAATAAAAAATTAGTTAGTAAAAATTATACTTTTACTTACCCCTTCTTGACTTATATACGGAGTATTCATGTTAATATATATCTTACCATTTTAACTTTTGTTTCTTCCTTTACAATAAAGTGTGCGTACAATAAACTTGTATTTTTTTTTATCTATTTTTTATGACAATAGAGCCCTAATTAATTTCATTGGTATAGTTTCCAATTTTATTTCAGCTATTCCTAGTTTAATTTTAATCCCCCCTGACTTATTTTAATATTATATATAATAAGAATTATCAAATGTTGATACTAGTCAAATATATTATTTTAAACAATAACAATAAATATTGCATTGTTTAGTCTTATAAAATACAATGGTCATAAGATCATATAATCAATACATTCATGATACTTTTTTTTTTTGAGTTTTTAAATACAAAAATGATACTTAAAATGAAAATTTATAGAAAAATCAAAATGTGTCTCTTTATACCTCCACAAGATTCCAACACAAGTGGACTATCCATAGTCATTCAAGGGGTTTGTTTGTTACTAGACTAAGGGGTAAAAATACATACATCAGATGAAAACAAATTAATTTTTATAGTGTATCCATTGGACTGAATTTCCTGGCTTATTATTTTATGGAAATTTTAGAAAATAACAGCACAAAAAAGTCACGATTTTGATTAAAACACCACAAAAAAAAAGTCACGGATTGAAGTTTGGTCCACATGTTCCACAATATATATCATAAGTTTTATTAATTTCATTTAAAACTATAGTGATTTTAACATGTTGTACCGAGATCTCAAAGTGATACGTTTATCAAATTAGATTTTAGGAAAATTTAATGGGAATAATCCCACATTTTGAGCATCGGAGATTAATAATCCCACCTTTGGGATTCTTTTTAATAATCCCACCTTTATACCTTATCCGCTCCTAACAGTCCCGGGTGACTAGTAACCGGTTGAAGAGGTAATTTTTTTTTTAGTTTATTTTACACATGTCACAATTTGATTTGTCCAAAATTAAAAGTAAAAATAATTAAAAAGTAAAAACAAAAAAAAAAGAAAGAAAACAAACACCACAGCCACGCCATCCCCATCAGGCCACCACCATCCAAACCCAGACCAGAAACCACCTTCGAACGCCATCCCCACCCCGACGCGAAACCACCACCACCCAGACGCGAAACCACCGCAACCCACCCCAGCCGGCGCTAGGGGAGTTGATCTGGGCGGTCGGCGTCATGGGGCAAGGCACTTTGGCGGTGATGGCGGGATCAGGTGGCGGGGAGGGTGGTTGCCTGGCCGAGGATGGTGGGTGGTTTTTTTAATTATTAATTTTTTCCTAAAATTTTTTTTAAAAAAAAATAATTTTTATTTTTTTTTTATTTTTTCGACCAATCACAGACCAACACGTGTCTGGTAACTTGTTATAACAAGTCACATGACCGGCTGGGACTGTTAGGAGCGGATAAGGTATAAAGGTGGGATTATTAAAAAGAATCCCAAAGGTGGGATTATTAATCTCCGATGCTCAAAAGGTGGGATTATTCCCATCAATTTTTCCTAGATTTTATAAACAGAAGAATGATTCTTTAAAATAATAAATGTTTTTAGGGGAAAAAAAAAGGTTTTTTCATGGTCGCAAGGTTCAAATACTGAATGCGTTTATATAATACAACATTTTGATAATGTTTAGACCACCGGACTAAGGAGGTATCAGCACATTCATTGGATTACATATTAATATATATTATTAGTTGAATAGGTTCCCTTTTTATATTTATCAAATTTGTAAAATTTTAACTTATTAACATACTTTTTGTTTTTAATAAAATAGTTATTAAATGTAAAAAATTTATATCTAAACGTATAAGTTTGTTTCCTTCACAGAAATAAAATAATTAAAATACAAACTGGTTTAATAAATTAAAAACTCTATTAATATATAATGATTTAAGGAAATGTTTTTGATTTCATTCAACTATTCATGTGGTTAAGAAACTTCTTCATTCTCTGGTGGATTTTCATCTGGAGCAGGTTGCTTTTATTTGGCTTGCTTTTGAGTTTATTCTTTATCCCTATCTCTTATCAATCCAATTTCAAAATCATTGTCTTCTTCCTGTTCCCGTACTCCATCAAATATTATGTTAATGCTTTCCTCAACACACGTTGAGCTCTTATTTTAAACTCTGTAGGCTTTGCTATCAGAGGCATATCCAAGGAATATGGCCTCTTCACTACTTTCATCAAATTTGCCTAGGTTTTTCTTACCGTTATTTTTGGCTTCTTTCCCTTGAAAATTTCATAGGGAGTTCTGTTGATGATGCTTCTGATTGTTACCTTGTTAAGGATGTAACATGTTGTATTCACGGCTTCATCCCAGAAGTTCCTTAGTAATCCACTTGCAATCAGCATTGTTCTAGCCATTTTCTCAAGGGTTCAATTCTTCCTTTCTACAACTCCATTCTATTAGGGAGTCCTTGGAGCTGAGAAGTTATGATTCATGCCATTTTCCCTACAAAACTCATCGAATCTTGAGTTCTCAAATTCATTCCGTGATCTGATCTGAGATGGACTATAGAGTGACCACTGATTTTCTGTATCTTCTTGGCAAAGGCAACAAACTCGTTAAAAGTTTCATTTTTACTAGTTAAAAGTCCAAATTCAGATTCGAGGCAGTAGCATTTGCACGACCTCTGCGCGACGTCTTCGCGAGCGCGCAAATGTGGGTTCAATCACGAGCTTCTCACGTGATTTTAATGAAAATCAGATGGCCACGATTTGATGATCCATTATAGTTGATGATGATGAACGGTTGGGATTTGATGACGATGTTTGATGATGGAGTTTGATGGTGAGTGAAGTATGGGATTATTTCCCATTGAAGCTAAAAATCAAAGAAGAAGGGGAATTGAGGGTCTGATGATTTAATTTGGGGAATTGGTGGGTTTACTTTCATTTTCAATTTTTTTTCTTTTCTTTTATTTTCTTTCCTTATTTTTTAGTTTCCTTTTCTTTTCTTATTTCTTTTCTCTTTTAATTTTTTTTTGTTTCCTCCTTAATTTCTCATTTCTTTTATTTTTACTTAGTTTTATTAGCTTTGTATAAATACCCATTTTTGGGTAATTAGAAGGGGGGAATTTATTATTCTATTTTTCTTTATTAGTTTTAGGAGAGCTTCTCTCTCTTAGGGTTAGATTAGATAATTATAAAGAGAGAAAGTAGATTGTTACTCAAATTTCTTTATGGTATTCAACTTTGCTTAAGTTTAATCTTCAATCAAGCAAGAGTTCAAGTTTTCATCTTTCATTAATCCTTTATTTAGTAATCTCTAATCCTTTCCTTTAGTTTTATTTATTTGCTTTATTGTTGCTTATTTTTGTTAATATTTTTAGTTCATCTAGTTATTATTTTTTTCATTGTTTTTAATCATGTTTTGTTTTGAGTTTCTTGAGTTTGTTTCTAGTATTGATAATATGTTTAATCTCCCTTCTCCAGGCTAATCTTTTAGTAGGGGAAGGGGGTGGAAAATAAGAGTTGATATTAGATGAATGATGATGGTTGGATTGAACTCATGCCATAAATTGATGAAAGACATGATTTTTTATTGCTTGAGATTATTGTTTCACTTTATTTGATGTTTTCTAGTTTAAATGCATGAAAGTGATTTGTACTAGGTTAAGATCATCTCTATTTTAATGATTGCATGAGAATAAGTTATTAAAATGGAGTTTATGGATTGTGTTTCTTTATTTTCTTTTTTTTATTGTAACTAATAAGATGCATGAGAATGATCCTTATTAGTATAGACATTTTTCATTGATTTTCCTAGACTATTGCCTGAGAATGAATTGTTTAGGTAGAATCTTGTGTTCTTTTGCATGTATTTCATGATAATCATCATCATTCCCCTCTTTCTAATCATATTTGATACCCCCATATCCCTAGCGTCATTTTCCTTTGATTTAAATCATCATTTTCTTGCCTATTTGTAGTTTTAGTGTTTTTACTCAACAAAACAAAAAAAAATGATCCCCTTTTTACTCTTGCAATAGTGAATATTGATGTTGAATTAGTGTGCTTCCCTAGTGGTTCGACCCTTTACTTGCCACTAACTAGTTTGGTGTAAGTTTAGGTATTATAAATGATTAATTTGATTAGGGTAGTAGTTTAACAACCTATCTAACCCTCGATCAAATTTTGGCGCCGTTGCCGGGGAAGCGGCTTGTTTAACATTTATTTTTGCTATTGTTAGAGTCTTTTTACTTGATTTCCTTTTTGTTTTGCTTGTTTAATTCTACTTGTTATTGCTAATCGTGTGCTTGGCTTTGTTGTGTTCAAAGAGATATGGCAAGACAAGAGGATGACCTTTGTATTAGGGTGTTTGGAAATCCGGAAATCTATGACCTCATGAGTGGTATACTTCTCCCGACCACCGAGACTAATTTCACAATCCATCCACAATATGCTAGGATGGTGCAAATTGAGAAATTTTCCGGAGGTGAAAGTGAAGACCCCACTGAGCATTTGAACCGATTCCTTGAGTTATGTGCAATGATGCAAACAAATGAAGTGAGCCAAGATTACATTCGTATGCATCTCTTTCGGCAATCTCTCATCGGAAGAGAAAAGAAATGGCTCAAGATTTTGAAGCTCAACTCTCTCACCACATGGAAGGAAGT